TATTCTATTCTATTCTATTCTATTCTATTCTATTCTATTCTATTCTACTCCACTCCACTCCACTCCACTATCCTATCCTATCCTATCCTATCCTATCTTATTTTCTATTCTTCTAATTCTATTATTCCACTTCACTCCGCATTCCCTTCCCTTACTTTCCCTTCCCTTCCATTCCATGATATAACCAATTCAGAAAAAATATAATACTCAAAATTTGATCTTAAACTTAAGGGCATAAACTGGAATGATTATTATGAATTTAGGAAAGTTGAATATTCAACTTTCTTCTTATTCTTGTAAACTAGGACAAGGTTTCTAAAATTGAATTCTGTTTACTTCAGCACAGTAAAATGAAATTGACTTGATTGATCAAATGCCAAATTCGCCACTCTGGAAGAAGCTAAGAATGCACTCTGAAAAGGATCTGTCACTGTTTCAAATAAGCTTTCTTTGCAGCTACTAATATGATGCCTCACTTGACACTGAGTTCCTTCATAAAGTCCTCATATTTCTCCTGATTCAATTTTCATTTGCATGCATCTTATCAGGCTTAAGGAGTTGCATCACAATTGAATGGAACACGGACATGAAGAACATGGGCATGGATATACTGTAAGTGATTACTTGAGAGCAGGAGCACCATCACAGCTGCCTCCATGCCTCCCACACTTGTCCATTTCAGACCAGTGAAAAATGGTTTTACATGTGTATGTTTGTATAACTTTAACGTTGATCAACAATATTTTTTTCTCTCCTTCTTGCTGGAGGTTGAAACGTGGTGTGCAAGCATGTGAATTTGACCTGAGCAATGATAACTAAAGGAGGTTTTATAACTATAACAGAAAGTGATTTATTTATTGGAAATACATTATAAGGATGGGCAAAGCCCAGCATCTAGCTACCTACATCCTGCAAAGAAAAGAGTCTACATATGACAGGAAAGGAAGTAACCCAAGATTAGCAATCTTTTAGCCAAAGAGCAAGAAAAATAATAAAGAGGGAACACAGAAGAAATCCTGAAATCTCTATTTACTCTCTACTACTTGTTTGTATTCTGCTTCTGTTCCCCTGTTTTCCAGTGTTCCTCTTCTATTACAGGCAACTGGTTTCCAGGACTTAAATTTACCTCTTGGTCCAAAACGCTGAAGATAGCAATGGGTGCAATAAGGCTTGTCATCATGCTGTTAAAGGAGATGAGAAACAAGATCAATAGTTATTATTATTATTATTATTATTATTATTATTATTATTATTATTATT